GGGGGGGGGGGGAAGGGTGGGAGCAGGGAGGGTTACAGGAGGCCAAGAGACATGGGACAGGACATGAAAGTATTGTCCATATCAGGTAATTATCAAGGGCAGATCCCAGTGTAGGAGGGGGCATGGGGTCATAGGGGGTAGGGGTTACAGGAGGCCAAGAGATAGGGATGGGACGTGGATCTACAGGGGTATCATGGTTAAGTTTAATTTGAAAAGCTTCCTTCACTATAACAAACAAACAAAATTATTTTACTCAAATATTTTCCTTGCAGGCCTTCAAGACATCTGATGGCTACCTAACAGTGGGGGCAGGCAATAATATCCATTTTGAAGTTCTTTGCAAAGTATGGTGTGAGGATTTTTTTGTCTTTATACATTTCTTTCATTTATACATGTAGATTGATTGATTCGGATTTGTATTATAAATTTTCTTTATTTAAATAAAATTTTATTATCTTTATTCAAATAAAATCTCTTTAACATGCCATTCACTTTTGAAATTCAAGGAATTCACCTCTGGAATTCGTATTATAACAGGGCTGCCTTGAGGTAATGAAGAGTTTTATTCTGTTAGTTTAATTTCAAATTACTGTATTTTTTTGTTGTTGTTACAGAGAATTGGGATGGAAGAACTTTCACAAAATCCTAAATATTCCAGCAATAAAAGTCGAGTAAAGCACAGGCAGGAGTTGATAGAGGCGCTGTCACAAAGGTAGTTTTGTCAACAGATATTTGTTGAAAAGACTAATACTTGTGCGCCTTTCAGCAAAACCCAATACAGTATCCACAGTGAAAGGGCCTCTCCCCTAATAATAATAATAATAATAATATTTTAATAAAAAAAAATAATACTGCCAATACAGATATCACCAAGTTAAGCAAATTCAACTTCTCTAGAAACAGGCTTTGATTCACATTGTGGTGCTATATAGAGTAAAGGTTCTGGCAGTGACCCTTTTTAGATTGATGGAGAGGTTAAAGGGGATGGCCATCATGTCCCTGAATTAGGCAGACCCAGGTCCTCTAGAAACACGGTTTAAATTTACCTTATGGTGACACATATTTCTAGGTTCTCCCAGAAGTCCACTTCAGAGTGGCTGGAGGTTTTTGAAGGGTGTGGCATGCCCTATGGCCCCATTAACAACATGGAAGGCGTGTTTAACGACCCCCATGTCTTACAGACTGGTATTGTCCAAAAGATGGCGCACCCAACAGCAGGAGATATCCGAGTGGTCGGTAAGAAAAAAATATTAAACTGTGTATTTTTGGGAAATAAGAAAAAATTTATTCTGGGGGCCTTTCAGAAAACGATCAAGTGGCCATTGCAGCACATATGGTAGGCCCCTCTGTGAAATAATGATACTGTGCTTTCATATCATGTGGATCATACTGCATTCATATTATTTGAATTACTTCTACTTATTTGTATAACTATAAGACTGTAATTTTTATTAAATACTAATTATTTATGAAAGCTTTAGGTTACCCTCTGACCACAGAGTCCAGTTACAAAATTATAGTAGACACATAGGGTAGCTTTGGGTTATGTTTTTTAGTTTACACGTAATGACTGTTTGGCGCAATATTTTTCATTCCATTTGTCTGAAGTGCGACATATACATTTTGTTTCAGGTCCAGCAGTAAGGTACTCGGACTTTGACCTGGTCCTCCAGTGCCCCCCTCCAACCCTGGGGCAACACACGGAGGAGGTGCTGCAGGAACTGCTGGGGTTTTCATCTAGTCAAATACAAGGATTGGCTGAGAAGGGTGTGGTCGGTCTATAAGAGGGCGGGGCATGATGATGAAGTTTTCATCCAATGAAATACAAGGATTGGCTGAGAATGACATGGTTGGTCTAAAAGAGGGCGTGGCATGAAGATGACCATCTTTTCTAATTTCTATGTACTTTACGTATTTTACTTACGGTGCATTTGAGTAATGAATAGGTATGCAAAGTACAGAGCCGGGTTCGATATAACTGCCGGAACAGATTAAAGTAAGAATAAGAAATTTTGATTCTGGGCGGTTTGAAAGATCAATTTTGATTATACGGTAATTGTAACCACATAGAAAACCGTGATTCTGGCTTGCTTGGACAACTCGGCGTATTGATGAACTCGAGATCGTTATGCATGGGGACACGGTAATGTGATAGATGGCTAGAGGCTTGGTGGAAGTATCATACCTGAGACAAAAACTATTACTAAACTAATGATTGACTGCAAGGGGCGTGCTGCTATTTAGAGGGTTGTGTGGCTTAAAGGTTTGTGCTAGTATCGCTTTTGAGTATAAATCTGACACTAGTTTTGAATTAATTTTGAAACTGTGTAAGTCTGAATTCAAGCATAAGTTATCTAGTAATTATAGTAGGTAATAAATGGGAATATACAAATATGAATGTACGAATTTGACTGTGATATTTTAAGAGGGATATTTTAAGTGGCCAATGTGACTTATAGTAATTAAAGTTAATAAATGAAATGTGATTCTCTCACTTTTGTTTTATATTTTATTACATAAGATATGGCTGAAAAAATGCTGAACACCACCTGGCCAAGCCGGATTGGTCCTCTCTGACACATATTTAACAGGAAATTTCAGGGGGGTGTTTTTTCCAGGCTTATTAGATATTGTAAGTAATGTAAATGTACCTTTTTATTTATCAAATACCTGTTTTACCCCCTCGTTCAGAAGGCCCTATTTTGCACACAGAATTACTGCCCTCTCTTACACTAAATGTGAAATTCAAGCCGTAGGCTAATTTTTATATGTTACATTATATTTCTTCCATTTTGATTAAAACTGAAGTTTGAACGGTGAGTGGCACATAAATAGGGATTTTGTATGTTCACAATTTTTAAATTAAATCTGTCAAATTGAACAAAATGATTTGCTCATAACTTTTGGTAGTTTATTGGTCTTCTTATTTTTCTGAATGTTAGCCATTTGTTTTCACCATAATTTTGATTTC